AACGTCAGTTCGAAATTTGATTGAGGAATATGGATGACCCTAATAAATGCAAAGAAAAGCCATAGAAACAGCTCGAAAATCAGAGTTGATACTGTATCATAGATATCAAATGTCCCTATCAACATGTTCATCATTAAGTTACTCACCGTTCAAAGTTGCACTGCATAGCAACTAGTCTGACGATCAACAAAATCTATCATGACATGAACGACCCGAATACGACAGAAAACTCCTAAAGTGTAATGGAAAGGACAAAAATATACTGGAAATCAGAATTGGCAATTTATCATAATTTAATCAAATGTCTCCATCAGTAGAATCATGTCTCACCATCAAAAAGACAGTCATCGAAGTCTGAAACCGCCACGGATTAAGAGAACCAGATTAATTACAATGAACAGAACCTACACGGAAAAGCAGAAAAAACTTTTTTACTACAAAAACTTCCACCACCCATTAATATTCACATATGATCTCTCATATCTGATGTCTGAAACAGAAAAGAAATCAAAATTCATGTCACTTTACCTCTGTTTCTTACACGAATCAGCATAACACTCTTCATGCCTTTGTCAGAGGAAATCGCGTAACAAAAATTATAATGAATAAATATTAAAAAATGAATGTATGGAGGCTTTCAGAATTAAGAATAAACTCCTTGCTCTATACCTCTGTATCTTACATGAATAAAAGTACATTCATCATGCCTTATCCAGAGGTCCAAATTAATTTAGACCAAACGGAAACATATGAGAATAAAATCCACGTGTATTATACATAGAAAATGGGAAAGACAGATATTAGCGTCTGGAGGGCAGAGATCGATCTTGAGAACGTAATAGTGCTCTCCCTGAACGGAATGTTCGTCCGCCTCTATGTCCTCCTCTAAAACGTCGAACATCATCTACATATGGATTAGTATATCGTGTGGGCGGTGTTATATTGTTAAGCCGAGGGGATTTATGACGAATAGGGGAGCGTCGAGGATTCACGTTGTCAGAGCGCCAATGATCTCTTTCTAATGGCGACCGTATTCGCCTAGGAGCATCTCGCATTGTCTGATTGTCAAAGTGATGTCGAACTTCACTGCGATAGGACTGGTGATCACCTGATGTAAGGAAAATCAGCTCTTCTATATGCAATCATAACATCCTGGTTAAAGCATTAAATCATAGCAAACATTTAATTTAGACACAATTGTTGGAAGTCAGGTATATTTCATTGTCATGTGATAGTGGTCGTCACGTGATTAGGAATCATTGATACTTCACCTGACGAAATTTTTGACGAATATTTTCAAGAGCAATAGTAATTTTGAAGTCACATTTGGTTCTCCTGACTCAAATTCCATTAATTTTAACCAGTTTGCGTTCGCACCATCATAGTTTTTGTTCACATTGACATTTAATGACACATTTCGAAAGACACTTTACCTTCTGCAATCATTTCGACATTTTACATATTCGATCAAATGTAAAGACTTAAAACAAACAAAGTAGCCCCTTTTTGATTTATTAATTAAGAATGACAACGTACCTCGATCCATGAACCTGCGATTCCTATCTGGCACCACATCACGCCGAGGTACCTTGATAAAGTCACGACCTCCATTGAAGTTTCTGAAGCTGTTATTTGACTGTGGCGGCGTGCTGTTCCGATTGAATCGTCTCGGAGCACCGTTAATGGGTGGAGGTCGCCGTTCAACAGCGTCAAAAGATGGACGATCGTTGACTGGACTTCGATTTCTAGGAAAATTAACCAAAAATAATACCTACCTACCTCGATGAATAGGGGCCATTAAAATTTGGTCCTCTTTCATTTTGAATAATCAAATTTCGACGTGGAGGAATGTCCCTTTTATTATTAAAAGGTTGATCTCTGAACTTCGGTCTGATATCAGGCGGTCCGCCATTGTACTTAAACTGACGAGGACCGTGACGACTGCTCGGAAAAGGACGAACAGATACGCCGAGAGGGGAACGAGACCTACGACGAAATGAGCGGAAGCGACCCGGAGGTGGAACCATAATACAGAGACGGAAGTGACTATGGCGGATACACTAAAACAAGTATTAAAAATTAACTTAAACAAAAACTTGAAATTTAGTTTTTTTATAAGCAAATGATGGTCGAAAGATTTATTTTAACATTAAAATTGAAATTCTTAATTGATGCCAATATTTATTTTTTTTCAATAAGCCTTAGTAATTGTACTTATATTATTTTGTGAAATATTACAACAGTTTTGGCTCAATTTCTCAAATATTATATCAAGTTTAAGTCACAAAAAATGGAAATATGCAAAAATATTTTGTAGATACATTGTCTTTATGGTTATTAATGACATAACAATTATATTCCTTCAACTGTTGATATATTTTTTAAATGTATCACATCCTTTAAACACAAAACATTAATTTTCGTGTCTACTTTAGCTGGTTATTGACTACTGCCCTGGCGAAAACTGCTGATTTATCCTAACAAATTGAAATGAATTTATAAATTGGTTTACATATCAATCTTTAAAGATAAAACTGGCATAAGATCAACTGATCCAGGTTTAATATGCCCCTTTTTTTGTATTTATTGGTGCTCACCAGTGTTTATGAAGAGGAATGCAGTATTGATCACACAATAAGGTAACTTCGAAAGGGTAGCAATAGGAAATGCGTTGCCTATAAACTTCAGAATGCAATCTTTTAAAGTGGACTATGACATTACGTTTTTATTACTAAAATGACTACTTTTATTTGACCTAACTGAAAGGTTTGAACGAATGTATTTACAACTGTTAATAAGAAAAGAAACTGGGCTATTTAATTTCAATTTTTCTCAAAAGATCTACTCTATTACCTGCAGAATTATTATTTTCTAATATTCTCAGACTCTCATCCCTCTCACTATGCTTTTAGTATTTTGAGTAATAATAAGAGTAACAACAATTAGTAAACTCAACTGAACTAAGTAATGCACCAGTCATTTGAATATGCAAAAATCTGCCATTTATTTTGAAATTTGGAACAAGCAATTGGAAAGTTAACCAAATAGAATCATTATTACTAACTGAGTAGTAGCTGAAATGTCGTTTCAACTTCAATTAAATTGTGGGTTCTTTGAAATGCCATCTACATTATGTCACTTGAAATGATATAAGTAAAAGTCATTCAAAATTCCTTATAACTGATGTTAACTATCAGTTACGTCGGATTACTAAAATGTCTTCGTAATGTCAGTAAAGAGGGAAAAATTTCAATCCCTTTCATTTCTGCTGTGAAGTTAAATTGAAAAAGTAACAAAAAATTTCATTCATGAATATGACCACTAAAGTTAAACCACTACAGATCACAAATAAACTAGATATCAAACTAAAAAAGAAAAGCTCAGGATTCAAAATGTATTAATTTAATTTTACGGGCGCACTTTTCTGGACCAATGAACCTGAAAATGCAGTAGATGTGGGATAAAATCATTCATTTTACCGTTTTAAAAATAACAATCAACCATTTGTACTAAGTTTCAGAATTTTTTAAAAACCCTGCCTCCAATGCATATGAGAATTTTAATTGAATCTCGAGATTTGTGGGGGTTAATCGTTGTATGACATTCATTGCTATGCATGAAAGGAGTTCAATGAAGGAATTAACCGTATCTAAAAACCGCCAGAATTATACAAAAGTGTATATGGAAGTTATATTCAACTACGTCAACTCGAGACAACAGATGTCTGTTTGCTTCGTCATTAGTCCAAAACGTATATGAACTGACAATGCATTGAATGGTCATAAAGCGTCATTTACGTATTCTGTCTTTAATTAAACGGAAAAATAAAATGTAACAATTCGGTTCAACACAAATATCGAAAAGAGTATTTTACACAGGCATGGAGTGAGTCATAAGTAAACACCGTATTATATATTAAAGGTTGATACATATATTTGACAAATAAATGATACTTTATTATATTTTATTTGACAATTCCGGCAACTCCTATAACGTCCTGATAACACATATAAATTAAAAATTTTCTCCGGAGTTTTCAATAACATAAAATCAGAAATAATGCATTATCATTTAGAAAAATTACTCGAAACGGTGAGTTCAAATTATGTGATTTATAAGTGCGCCGTCTGAAGGATATCTTTAAACTCATTGAGTTCTATTGCTCAATAATATTCATGCAACATTATTAAATCGTGGGGGTGAGCGATAGACTTACCTCCACGTGGTGCACCCTGGTCAACGTATATTCATTCGGGAAAAAAGTCTATTGACTGGCAGTTGACTTCTCACTTCAAACTATCATCACCTCACTCTATGCCATATTCGACCCCCTTTACAGTACTTACCTCACCTTTGTTCTACCTTTGTGTTTGTCTCTTACATCTTTGAAACACTCTTCTGTTCCCCCCCTCTCGAAATTTTTAAATTTGATGTTCCTTCCTCTCTGTGAAGCCTGAAGTCAACTAAAGGGCTAACGATAACCATTAAGACGCCTGCCATTTGATATAAATAAATAAATTATTAAAACGTTATAAAAGCAAAAAAACCTAAATTACTTAGATACCTAGTAAAAGTTAAATCTCCTTAACCAAGCACTTTTTATGACTCAAAATAAATTATGATTAACCATATTTAATTTAACTTCAATATATTTTTAAATTTTTTAAATTACAATTAAAGACCAACTTTAGAAATGAAATTGAATATGTTGGATTGTCTTAATACTTAAAAATATATAATAAAAAGTGCGTTTAAAAGCACATATAATTATGTATCACTCCGCTTATTGCATAGAATGGAAGAATATGTTCACAAAATGTAAT